AAAGATTTGAAATGGGAACTGGGTGGATGGCTCAGTAAAACGCTCACCTCTGCAAGCCCAAGGGCCTGAGTTCTGCATTCAGGACCACATAAAACAAAGAAACAACAAACCCCACCATGGTAGGATGCACTTGTAATTCCAGTGCTGGGGAGATGGAAGACAGGAGGACCCCTGAGACTCATTGGCCAACCAGTCAAGCCTAGTCAGGCAGTTCCAGGCCAGTGAGAAACCCTGGCGCAAAAAAATAAGGTGCATAATGCCTGAGGAACAACACCCCAGGTTGTCCTCTCCCTCTGTCTGTCTCCCTCTCACACACACACACACACACTCACTGACATGGACACAGCACATTCAGTGAGCGCACGTGCACACATATGTATAGGTTTTGAGATTATGTGAACTTCCTCACAGACAATTCGGTTAAAGCATGATTAAGTTCTTCAAGGACCTTAAAATTAGTGAAGTTTTCTTTTGCCATTTTAGCTTAATAAATACCCAGACGTCTAGAGCTGTTTCTTTCTACAAAAAACCTCACATTGTTGAATTAAATATAAAACTGATCAAGAGATGGCTTGGCTGGTAAGAAAGTAAATATTCAGAGGCCAAAAATAATGAAAAATTCTAACACAGAGGAAAAACGAGTGATGAAGTCAGCCTCAGTCTTGGGTGTATCTGGATCTAAGGGGACCTCACACATGCCAGGGAGAGCAGGCACAGTCAGTGATTGATGTCTGGGGCGCCATCAGACTGGTGGCCCCAGATCAAGCTGAGCCCAGTAGTGGGTGACTTGAGACAGCCTGCCCCATTGAAAGAGAGACCGAAAGTTGTTCTGGTTTGCTTGCTGTTGCTATGGTAAACACCACAACTAAGTCTTTCCTGTTTGGATTGTGACTCTTGGTAGAATAAAAAGGGAAGGCACCTTCAGGAGCACAACACAGCCTGTGCTGGGTTAGCTATCTGTCTGTCTATCTGTCTGTCTGTCTGTCTGTCTATCATCTATCCATCCATTTACCTATCTATATTTATCTATCATCTATCTATCCATCTATATCTATCTGTTTACTAGCATAATCTTCCCATCTATGTATCTGTGTATCATCCATCCATTCATCTGTCTATCTATCTATCCATCTACCTGATATTCATTATCTATCTGCCTATCTATCTATGATCATCTCTTACTTGCCTGTCCATCTGTATATTGTTGTTTGTCATCTACCTATCAATCCCTGTCTAAGCCAGACATTAGGTCAGAACAGGTAGATCAGCAGTGCCCAGGCAATTGTCATAAAGAAGCACAATTTATCTATGGAAAAATATATTCTGAACAATGACAAAACTCCAAGGAACATGAATTTGCAACCAAAGCGCACAAAACACAAGAAAACATGCTGCACAGAGAGAGAATAAGCAGAGGCTACAAACTGGAGAAATATATTGACAACCTTCACACCCCTGGCGATCAAAGCTGGAATATCTAAAGACCTGAAGGAAGCAGCCAAAGTGTGATTGAGAGCTGGGCTTGGGGGCCAAATGTGAATTCCCAGCGCTTGGGAGGTGACAGAAAAAGGAGTGAGAGACAGAGCTATGCAGCAATGTCTAATAAACAGCACTGTCAACGAGAAAGAGCCTAACGAGATTGGCAAGGCAGTTTTTAAGACCATGGTATGCCTTTCCCGGGTGAGTATGTGCTCACATGTGCAAAGGTCCTGGGTTAACCCCAGCACAGAAACAGGAGCACACACAGCTTTTTAAATTAAAAATACAACTAGCAGGCGGCTCCCACCTCATGCAGCCATGCAGCCATGCATGGCTGACTCCTCCCTCTCAGATCCATACACTCCTTTTTAAAGCCACCAAGTTCACATCCTGCTGCTGCTGTATGCATAGGGACGTCTGCCGGCCCTTGACCATCCTATCTGGAGTCACAGCTTTGAAGAAAATGGACTCCCCCTCCAGTTGGCCATCAGTTGCCAACAGCTCCTCAGCTAGGGGTGGGAGCTGTGAACCCCTCCCCCACTGGAGCTGGGAGTGTGTCTGTCTTGTGCACTGGAAGCTTGTGAGAGCACCAGCCCTGTAACAGCCAGAAAAGACCATTTTGTGGCAGCCCTCCAGTACTTCTGGCTTAGAGTCTCTTCACCCTTCCTTCTATCTAGGCACAGTTTCTAGAAAGGCAAAGTACCAGGAAACAAATCTGCCTCCTATGTGGGCAGGTTTGCTCAGCGTTCATTCATCCTCATTGCCAACTTGACTGACATCAGAGTCAGTCAAGGACACACACCTCTCGACATGTCTGCTTCCAAGGAGGTTTTCCTGAGGTGAATGTAGGCAGCACCACCCATAGGCTGGGCGTCCCATCTGTGCGCTCCCGAGAGCACAAGCCTTGCCCTGCCTTCGCTGCCATGAAGACTGTGACCACTCACAAACCATGGGCTGCAGTCAACTCCTTTTCCCGTGAGTGTCTTCTTGTCAGCTACTTTTTCACAGCGATGAGATTCACGGATGTGCCATCACTGCAGTTAGACATCCTAGAGACGGAAAAGCTTATTCTGGTAGGGAGAAAATTGAGCTCACCGCTGACTGCTGACGTCATGAATAACTAATAATTGTTCCACTTTACGATTTTCTAAGTGTCTCAAACAGCTCATCAATACATTTCAGAGGCTTATGAGTTTCTTAGCATCCCACTGCATTGACTTACCAGGATGGCACAGCTAATCAGACCTGGCATTTAGCCCCACGTGTTTTATTTCAGAGTCCATGGCTTTCCTTAGGACTACAATGCAGAACTGGGGCCCTCTTTCCTGGGGGACAGGGCTTTCCAACCCCAATTGCTTAACAAATCTTGATTCTTGGGCCTTACTCCTTAGTGATCCCAACCCAGCTGACTGCGTGTGAATCTATGTCTGTCTGTATTTTATTTTTAAGTGACTCCCTGGAACTGGGGTTACTGATGGCTATGAGCCACGGTGTGGGTCTTGGAATCAAATCTGGGTTCTCTGTAAGAACAGCAAGTGCTCTTAATGGCTGAACCAATGTCTCTAGCCCCAAATCTATTCTTTAATGCTTCCCCTGGATTCTGGTGTATAGTTATGTTTAGGAGCCCAGAGCCCCTGTTTTATGAAATGAAAGGCCAATACAACAGTTTCCATCAGTATCACCTTTAGGTTTACTTTAGAAAGACTGCATCAGTGTGCTTTTGACCAGCAGATCTGAACCTCTTTTAAAGACCCATTTACTTTTATTCTACATGTATGATTGTTTGCCTGCACGGATGTATGGGCACCGCGTGCATGCAGTGCCTGCGCAGACCAGATGAGGGCGCTGGATCTCTGGGACGAAAGTTACAGGTGGTGGTGAACCTTTATAGGTGCTGAGAATTGAACCCAGGTCCCTTGCAAGAGCATTAGCAAGCGCTTTTAACCTCTGAGCCATGTCTCCAGTCTTTAAAGGCTCCCTTACCTCTTAAGAATTTAGTAAGATCTATAAGTAACACACACACACTCCTTTACTTAGAACTTAAGGAAGCATATTAGTCAGCATTAATTGTCACCTTGATACAATGAAAAGAACTCTCAGTTGAGTAACTGTCTTCATCAGGTTTGTCTCTGGGCACGACTGTGGGGATGGTTGTTAGTTGCTGAATGAGGGCTCAGACTGTGAGCAGTGACCTGAACAGGTGACCTTTGACTGTGTAAAGCTAGCTGAGCATGGGCAAAAGAGCAAGCCAGTGGGGAATCCAGTCAGCATGGTTCCTCCAGATTTCTCCCTCAACTATTGGCATGGCTTCATGCCCTGCCTTTCTCCAGTGATTGACTAACCTGGGATAAACCCTTTCCTGCCCCTAGTTGGTCAGAATGTTCCCTCACAGCCCAGAAAGTAAACTAGGAGAGGTGTAACACGGTTATATTGAATAGTTTTATGTCAACTTGACACAAACTAAAGTCATTTGGGAGGAGGGAACCTCAATTGAGAAAATGCCTCCATAAGATCGGGCTGTGGGCAAACCTGGAGGGCGTTTTCTTAACTGGCCATTTATGGGAGAGGGCCCGGCCCATGGTGAGTGGTGCTGTTCCTGGATCTCCTGAGTTCTACAAGAAACCAGGCTGAGCAAGCCCCAAGGAGAAAGCCAGTGAGCCACACCCTCCATGGCTTCTGCATCAGCTCCCGCCTCCAGGTTTCTGCCCTGAGTGAGTTCCTGTCCTGACTTCCCTCAGTGATGGACAGTGCTGTGGAAGTGTGAGCTGAATACACCCTTTCCTCCCCAACCTGCTTTTGGACACGGCCTTTCATCCCAGCAATAGTGACGCTCCCTAAGACAGCAGTTATGCAGCAGAGCTATGCAGATTACCTGGATGCAGTGGCTTCAGACAACAGCATTTATCATCTAACAGTTTTGGAGGTCATGGGGGTCCTACTGGGCTGATGCCAAAGCATGTCTGGGCTGTGCTCCTAGAAGCAGCGGGGAGAAACGTTCCACCGGCTTCAGTGTTTGAAGCTGCCTGAATTCTTTGACTCGTGGGCCCTTCCCTCCATCTCCAAAGCCAGCAGTGTGGTCTCTTTGTGATTCTTCTTCCTTTGTCACAGCTCTTCTGATGACAGCTAGGAGAAGCTCTTCACCTACCAAATCCCTGGGTTTAGACCACTAGTGAGCCGGTAATTCCAGAACGTGCACCCCCACACCCCAGGCTTCTGCACGGTTGCTTTAAGGGCAAACGTGTTTAGAAAGACAAAAGAAAAAAGTGACACGTGTGCTTAGTATGAGTGAGACTTTGGAAGAGGGGAGGGAGAAGGGGACCTCGGGGTGTATGCTTTTACCAGAGCAAAGAGTAGGTTCAGCAGTAACAGTAAACTCGCACAAGTTAACTTCATGGAGTCAGAGATAAATGAAGCTTGCCAGGGCCTGGGCTGGGCTGGGGGTGCTTGTTGAACTTTAATTTGCAAGATGAGCTATCCACCGTCACAAAACCAAGAAGCGGTTGAGAGGTAAACTTAACGTAATGTGTACTTCACCGCAACCTCCCACGCGAGCACACCTCGCGCATCGCGTGGCCGCCAGGTGGGAAAGCGCTGGCCAGGTCACGCAGTGTGGAAGGACACGCTGCTGGCTGCTCGCTTCCAGGTGACTTAATTCTTACTAACAGCAACTGATCCAAGGTCTTGAGCATTCACCTCTGAGGAAGAGCTTGCAGATGGGCAGAGCCAGAATATTCACCCGTCCTTGGCTGCTGGGGTGGCTTTGGAACTTGGTGTGTGTGAGAGTGAGACTCACAGGGTGAGACGAAAGGAGAGAGACCCAGCCAGCCCCGCAGAGCCTGGGACGGTGGAGAAGGTGGGGTTGGTTCCCCACGGTCCAGCCCGGGTCCAGGCGGCGCTCGAGGTGCCGTGTCCAGCAGGGGGCGCTGCGGGCCCGTCCCTCCCGGGCCGCCCGGGCCGCCCACCCCGCGGGCGCGCCTCTCCGCAGTTGCAGCGCCGCCCGGGCCCGGGACCCGCTCCTTCCGAGAGCGCAGACCTCTCCGCGGGGAGCAGGAGGACGCGGCGCTCTGGCGGCCGCCCCTGGCCTCGCACCGGCTCGCGCCGCAGCCCCTCGCCGCGTCCCGCGCTCCCGCTC